ATTGTTTTTACCAATGTATGTAATTATTTACCAATACAAATATTTTATAGTGCAATCATTAAGAGTATAATTTTATGGTGGGTGCTATGGCCAGTTTTGTGATCACACACATAGTGTTTATAGCATTGGATTTTGGTGATTACTCATGATTTGTATGAAACACATTTTTTCATACATGCATTTGCATTTATGCTATTCAGTCCATCCCCAAATTTTTATATAGAATCTCAAGCACCCACCATAAAATTATACTCTTAATGATTGCACTATAAAATATTTGTATTGGTAAATAATTACATACATTGGTAAAAACAATACATTGGTAAATAATTACAGTTTTTAAAATATTTTAATAAACATGGTTGAATTTTAACTGCAAATAGAAAATAATTATTAAATGATAGTGATTCCCTTTAGTTTAGTAACCACATAGAAATTAACCCTGATATAATTAACAAGAAAATTATTATGAAACCATACCAGCAAAGAAATGGCAGTTTTTGTTTGTCATCCATAGTCTTAACGCCTGAGAGTATGTCAACCGTTGAGTTAATACAGCGCTGGTATTCATTGCGGGCGGCGTTCGTACGTTCGGCCGAACGGAACAACTCCTGCATCCGTCGGCTGTCGGTCTTTGAGCACAACTGTCGCGCCTGAGTCCTGACGGTCCGTATCAACACTTGTAACAGTCGCCGAGGGTATGACATATTGTTCACTTGTTTTAACCAATTCTTGGGTTTCGCTATTTTTAAGTACAGTACGGCCCCGAATTTGGCACACGCGATTTTAGCATTTTTCGATTTTGGCATAAGGTTTTCTTAGCACCGGCGAGCCCTATGAATACTGTAATGTTAAGTGTACCCGATTTTGGCATTTTCAATTTTGGCAGATTTCGAATTTAGCACTGCTTTTTCACTGTCAGTACAGCATAATCTATGCTTCGATTTTAGCACATTTGTATAATTTTGAGTGAAAATGTCGGCATATAAGCGGAGAAGGGATTTGATTTTTAAAACAAAATACAAAATTGTTAAATTCATTGACAAAAAAGTGAATTATAATGAAATTGTGCCACAATTTAGTGATTATGGCATCACTTCAAACGAAATTTTAAAAATTATGTCCCAAAGAGTAAATTAAACCTCAAAATGTGATTTTATGCACATTTTCTAATTTTCGATTTTGGCAGAACTCGATTTTGGCACATATTTTTTACAGCACCAATGAAATGCCAAATTCGGGGCCAAACTGTATAAGTAATAATTCATGTTTTTAAAGCTACTTAATTAATGTAAAATGATTTGAGCACATGATTACTTGACAAAATAGTTGGCCCACGACTGGTAGTACTGACCGCCGACATCGCCCCTCAAAACACCGCTTTCGTTGAACCGATGGTTAGTCTTCATCCACGCGGGAGGACTCCAGGGGCTGCCGAAGAGTCGCAGTTTATGTGGACTCACTTTCAGCGCCTGTTTTATGAACGGTATCTACAAAAACAAACGACAATTTTGTGGTCAGTTATCAACTCATGTTATTTGTCTATTCTTCGGACCATACCTTCCACTCCGTGTCCTCTCTCTGAAGGGCCCAGTGTTTGAGCTCCAGGTCGTCGTCGGTGTCGTCGTAACTGTAGGGCCGGTCGGAGAAGTCGGTGCCGCCGATCGGTATGCGTCCCATCGAGTACTCAATACCGTTGGCCGAGAAATAGCTCTCAATTAGCAAATCAGCCAACGATTGGTTGACAGACTTAAGCATTTGTCCGGTGCTGTCCGTAAAGGCGGCCCCAAAACCCAATACAGACTGATATCTCTGAGTCCTGTTTATAGTTATTGTGACGCTTTGATCGGCGGTTGACTGACTGGCCATTGAGTCAAACTTGAGGGCCGTTTCCCGGAACCGAAGCCCCTGTTTATTGCTCTCGAAAACTGTGGCAAAACCCGGTTGTGGTCTCTGGACGGCCGGCAAGTCGTCACAATATGTGGCGTTACAGACGCACACTGTGTCTGCATTTTGCACTTTCCGGGCGATGCACTCCCGGCGAGCGTTCACTGTATTAATGTGTAAATTATTGTTAATTTAATTTTTAATTTTTAAGTGAATTACCCGTTAGAATGAAGAAAATGAATGAAATTAATGTAACTGTTGTAAAGTGTTTATTCATTTTTGAGTTTTACTGTTGCCATACAATTAATACTAATGAAAACTATTTATAAACCGTTCATCACTCGAGTATTTATTGATTTGTTTTTATCTAAAGTTTTTTATCTTTTATAATTCACATCTACAGTACATTTTATCTATTTATAAGCTAGTTAAGTGTTTACACTTATAGTTTATTCATACAGTCCTATTTATTATAAGAGTTTTGTTACAATTATTTATCAAATCCTAATGTACTAGTTTATTTAATTATGTACGTTTGCACTAATTAGTAGAAAATCAACAATTAAATGATAATGGTCACTAAATTTGCTTTTTGCAACATTCCTGTAGTAATTGCACAATGGATTAGTACATCATTCATGTGTTTTTAAGTATCCAAAAATAAGTATAAACTAAGGATAAACTAGGATAATTTAAGTATAAAATAACTTATATAAACTTTTATATTGACATACATGTATCTTGTGTTTTACAATAGCAATGGCCCATTGCCAATGGGTAATTATTGATATAAACAAGGTTACTTGATAGATTTATTTTAAAAAATTCAAATGTTAAAAAAAATATTTACAATTAATCCAACACTAATAACATTGTTATGTTTCTATAGTACGAGTAAGTGTAGTATAAACGAGTACATTTTAGCCGGTATAATATAAACAAATTTTACTCGATCGTTACATAAATTAATTGAATAGTACTGCAATTTGTTTTTATTTTGTCAATTTAATATAACTGTATTATTGTTATAAGATAAGAATTTTTTTAATTGTTTGGTATACGTTATGTGAATTTTATTTACAATTCAAATCGTCCCAAACTTGAGAGTATTTGTCGCGAATCCATTGATTACGACTATCGGCGCAATCGATACTAACGTCGAAAACTCTATTCATTAGATTTTCTGTCAAAAACACTTCAAAAGCATTTTGTGCCAAATATCTCATAGATTTTGCTCCTAATTTTAAAGTAGTCGCGCATCCGATCGACTCAAACGCCCGGTTATTAAACGGATCCTTTGGTTGAGACTCAAAACTAATTTCCAACCTCTGGTCAGTAGTGTTGTGGCCGACAGTGAAGGCGTGTTCGGCCACACGTTCGATAGGACTCTTGCCGTTAAAATGTATTAATTTCAAAGCCGGCAAATCGTGGAACGCGTTCGCAAATATTGACCTTATTGGATTGTTGATAATATCGATTTGTTGCATATTCTTCAAACCCGATAAACTCAATGATGGCAGCGATTGTACGCCCGTTTGGTATAGGACTATGTGTTCCAACGCCTTTAACGTAGAGATGGCGCCGAATAAGTCCGAGTGGTTTGTGACCGACTCAGTGACCGGAGAGTCGATAACATTAAGTTCAATTAGCGTTGCGGCCGTTCCGTCAAACGCGGCGACGTTTATGCGTTTTAAGTGATTACTGGTTTGAATTCGGGTGAATTGAATGCCAGCGAATGCATTGGCCGGCAGTTCCTCTATAGCCGTGTTTGTTAGATACAGATGTCTGAATGGTTTCCTATCAACCGGTAGTCTACGGCTCAGGTCTGCGAATACAGCTTTTATATCAAAGCTTGCGGCACCCGAGCATATAATGTCGCAATACATGTATGTTGATTCACTTTGGTATCGACATGGTGACTGAATGGGCACATTAGTAGGACATTGGCCAACCACGTTGTTAATTAACCAAATTAACAATAATGCAAATGCTGTAAAATAATAATAATTTATTTTTAATTATTGTTTACAAGAATGATAAATAGCCATACTTTTATAATGCATTATTTACTAAATATAATATATAATTATTTTACTTTTATTTAGTTATATAACATGTAATTTTAATAACTTTTGTATAACAGATGCTGTTGTATTTATACTTATTCCAAGAAGTTTATCTATAAACTAATTTTATTAGAAACTCATGAATGTAATAAAAATTGTTATGGAATTAAATTTTTAAACATAAGACACTTTATAACCACAATTGAGCACAATATTTGCTAATTTGTAATATTCCTGTAGTTATTAAACAATAGATTAGTACAGCATTAATGTGTTGTTACTGAATTTAAGCATACAGTATATTATCTATATATCATATCTTGTGTTTTACAATCGTTATATGTACTGTAAATATTAATCTAACAATCGTAAGCTAGAATATTATGCAGTTAACATTTAGGTTTATTGCAAACCTAGTTTCAAATGTTAAAGTTTAAGTGTTTTACAATTAATCCAAAACCCACAACATTATTATGTTTCCATTGCATTGTATATAAATTTTGTAATAACAATAATTGTGTATAACATAAGTTTAACGAATATAATACTTGTTCTGCAAATAAATTAAATATTAAACTAATTATCAGTAAAGATATACATAAGTATGAAGGTAATTTATTTAACAGTATCTATGTTTATTGAGAAATTTTAATTCAAATTATAAGTTGTATGCAACTATTTGTTCGTGAGTTAAATTAATATTAGTGACACAAAAATGAAGAACTAATTTATGCATTCTACTATTGTAAATTAGTTATAATAGATTAATAATTTAGAACATTAACAAAAGTTAATTTAATTAAAAATAAAACAATGTCTAATTCATACAAAGTTGAATATAATTCTTTATATAAGCCTTATACCGTATTATAAGGGCATTACAAATTAATTGCGTGACTTGTTTTGATCACCATTTGGGAACAGCTGAAGTGACAATATTGAGACTTCACACATAAGGCGTGCATTGATAATTTGGTGAATTA